GTGCCACCGCCGTGTCTGCGAGGGTCACCGAAAGACGAAGTCGAATGTCCCGCAGACGCAGGTGCCGGCGGGGAGGCGGGCGACGGTGCGGGACGGGTCGTCCGCACGGGCGTCGTCCAGCAGCTCGTTGCTGTACGCGGCCGGGACGCCCTGCGCGTTCGCGACGGTGATGTGTGGGTGAGCGTTTTGGCAGGGGAACTCCCCCTCGTTGCGCACCGCGATCGCCGTCCCCCTCGCGTCCGACACGACGCACGTCAGCGTGAGTTGGATGGGCGTGCCTCGCAGCTCCACCAGCCGCTGCAGCAGCACCGGGTCTCTGCAGCCGCCGCGGCCAACGAACAGCGTCGTCACGTGGAAGGCCGCCTGCACCTCCTTGCCGTCCAGCATCGCCGGCGGCACCAGCGCGAGGAGCCGCTCGGGCGACGCAATCTGAATCGCGGCGTACTCCACGGGGCGGGGGAAAAGGCGCAGAAAAGACTCGTAGGCGTTCGCCACCCCTATTGCCGCCGCCATATCGAGTGCCGCGATCTCCGGCAGGTCGCTCGTCCCATGCGCGGAGAGCTCCTCCCAGACGCGCCGCACTGTGGTGGCCGTGTCGTCTGCCACGTTGACTTCGACGAACGGGCCCTCCGTGGGCGGCCGGTACCGCGCCGCGCAGCCCCGCAGAATGTTGCGCATGCCCCCCCGCCCGCCCCCGTCCGCCCTGAAGGTGCGGTGGGCGGAGCCACGGCGACAGACCCGCTCGAAGCAGACAGCCACGAGCGCCTCCGTGCCGCCGGGGTGCGACCACGCCACCGCCAGGGTCTTGGGCCCCAGGGCGGCGTAGTCGTCGCGGGCGGCCGCGTCGAGGTTCATCTTGTCGACGATGAGGTGCGTGTGGCCCGCGTGCCGTGCGCGCCGAAGGGCGTCAAGGAACTGCCGCCGTCCGCCGACCTCGTCCTGGTTGACCCAGCACGGCGAGAGGCCGGCCTGCCGCAGCAGCGCGAAGAGGGTGCGGGAGAAGGTGGACTTGCCGCAGCCCTGCGGGCCAGCGCAGACGATGACGTCGGGCTCGTCGGTGGCGGCCTCGCCGTCGGGCGGCTCGTAGCGAGCCACCCGGGCCCGCACGTGGGCGTCGGCGGCGACGCACCGCGCGCACTCGTCCTGCAGCGCGATCCAGCGACGGCGCAGGTCCCGCAGCCCGCCGAGGTCCGTCTGCGCCGGCTGCCGCCCCGTCACACGCAGCCACGCCGCAAACCGCACGAGGCAGTCGAGGCGTGTCGCCTCCCAGTCGCCAAGGCACCGGCGCACGTCCCTCGGCAGCCCGGCGAGCCTCTTCGCGAGCCTCGCGCGGAGGGCCGCGCCGCTTAGACGGTGCGTCACGATGGCCTCCTGCGCCGCCCGCTCCATTGCGAATGCGTGCGACCGCAGCCTCCACATCCGCACCACGACTCCCGCCCCGCCGTAGCCGTACATCACTGCGCCCTTGCAGTTGCGACGACGCGCTACCTCCTCCCGCAGGGCCGCGTATTCGTCTGACGCCAGCTCCACCGCCGGCCGAGGCGCCACAACGCTGAGGCCGAAGGACCGCAGCGCCGCCATGCTGCTCGCGGGGTCGACACAAAGACCCGCACCCGAGGCCGCCCCACGGCGGGTAAGGGCAAAGAACTTTAGCGCCTCACAGGGCCCGTAGTCGACGAGGTGCCCGGACTCCCGCAGGACGGCAGCAAAGCACGCGGTGTACCCTGCGGCGCTCAAGTAGTCATGTAGGGCAGCGGCCCCTCCCGCTGGCAGCGCACGCAACGTGTCCCGCCAGACGCAGAGCACGCGCCTGGGCACCGCGGCGCGCCACGAGTCGCCCGCGCCCCCGCCGTAGAGGGCGACGTCCTCCCCCGGCACGCCGAAGCGCACCAGCATGTGCACGTCGCCGGCGCCCACCAGCCAATAGCGCTCGCCG